CCAGAAACTTCCAAAATGATCATACAGCCCAGGCATCAAGGAGCGTTTATGATTGTGATCACGGAGGGCCCTCAACACCTGAATCGGTTATTCATCATTTTGTTAACGATGACATGCGTCCCTATTGAGAGCCAGTTGCTATTCCCAGATCCTCTTGCTACCGTAAAATCCGCCAACGGAAGCTTGAAAGACGAAGCCATCTCTGAGTCCTGCAGATGTCCATGAGATGGCGGCAACTCGGCGTAAAGTAAGTGGGCAGAGGCCACCTATACTGCCAATACCAGAATCGACAACCGAATCCCAGCCCGGTTATGGAGAGCATGGGGATCATTCCATCTCTTTCCTGTCCGATCTTCCGCAACTTAGTGTGGCAGCGCCAGTCGTTAATGACAAGCGACAAAGCTCATTGGTGAAACTGGATATCCCAGTGAGCACTACCGACGAAAGCTTAGGGTTTGGACTTGACCTGGAATTTGACCGTGTTATTGAGGCCCAAAAGGTTGCGTTTGACCATTTTCTTTCCCAGCAGCCCCGTTACCCTACCACCTTCATGGACACAACCAATACGAACATGCAACAATCATCTTTGTCCAATTTGATGCCATCTGAAAAGAGAGAAATTCCCTTAGATTGTGATAGTATTGCTAATAATGTTACAACTCGACAGAGGGGCTACCTCATGAGGCAGAATACCAAAGTTATTGTCGCTAGCAGCAACGCAGACGAGTCAACAGATGCGAACGATTCACCTGTGGATGGCGACCCAAGAGGGACAAAATCTGCAGGAAATTCTCCACGCAAACCAAGCCAGCAGACCTGGACTACCGAACCATGGAATGGAAAAACGAGACGCCAAAGCATCAAGCTAGCAGGTGGCATGCCAAAGAAGAAAGCAGTTCCCGGATCTGTTCCTCCATTGCCAGGACAAGAGAGCAATGCAAAGCAAGAAGACGGTGTGGACGAACACGATAATATTCCAGGAGAGGAATTTGAAGAGGGCGATGAAAGGGGGCGACTGTTTGTCAAAGTCGTTGGAGTGAAGGATTTGGATTTGCCGTTAGCACGAGGTACGAAGTGATCACCTTGTATTGAGATGACTGGCTAACTTTACTTGTAGGTGGCCGGTCCAGTTTTGCCCTCACTCTTGATAATGGCCTTCACTGCGTAACAACATCGTGGCTCGAACTTGGCAAGTCTGCTCCCATCGGCCAAGAATTTGAATTGGTCGTTCTTAATGAGCTTGAGTTCCAGTTGACCCTTCAAATGAACATGGAGGAACTCAAAGTTAAGCCCAGCCAACCTGTTGTGTCGTCGCCTGGAAAGCCGACAAAATCGCACAAGACCTCCACCTTCAGTCGTGTGTTCGCATCCCCGAAGAAACGGAAGGAGTTGGAACAAAAGCAGCAACTGGAAGCCCAGCAGCTCAAACAGCGGAAAGCCGAAGAAAAGGCTTTGGCTGAGAAAAAGAACCCATTGGATGCGCTGCGTCATTTAGTTGCCAGCGATGGGAGCTTCGCTCGTGCTTACGTGTCTCTAAGTGATTACGAGAAAGCGGCTTTTGGAAGACCGCTGACCGTCGATGTCACTTGCTTCAATGAGTGGGCGACTGACCCAGTTAATAATTCGAAGAACAAGCGATCAATGGCTAATTCCGCAGGATCTGGCATGCAACAACGCCCCCCATACAAGATTGGCAACCTGGAACTTCAGCTTCTCTATGTCCCTAAGCCGAAGGGGGCCACGGATGATGATATGCCGAAGAGTATGAATGCGTGCATTCGGGAGATGAAAGAGGCTGATAATGTGGCTGCGAGAGCGTGGGAAGGATTTTTGTCTCAACAGGGTGGTGATTGTCCGGTATGTTTTACTATATTTCGTTTCCTTCCATTTCATTTCGAGGGGTTTTCGGCTAATAGCTGGATGTTTCTAGTACTGGCGTCGACGTTACTTTAAACTTCAGGGGTCGAAGCTTACAGCGTACCACGAAACTACTCGCCAACCTAGGGCTACCATCAATTTGGCGAAAGCATCCAAATTGATTGATGATAGGTCTACATTAACCCAAAAGGAGACGCCAGGGAAAGGCGGTCGTCGACGTAAATCAGCTTTCGCGGAGGAAGAAGAGGGCTACATGTTTGTTGAAGAAGGGTTCCGCATCCGGTTCGGCAACGGCGAAATAATTGATTTTTACGCGGATAGTGCCCAGGAGAAGGAAGGCTGGATGAAAGTCCTTGCCGATATTGTTGGGAAGGGACAAACTGCCGGTGTCGGTGGACAGCCCAAGGCTTGGACGGAGCTTGTTCTTAAGCGGGAACGTAGCATTGCTGCTAAAATTAAAGCCGCTGGTCGCGGTATGGGACAAGGTATCGGGTCCCATCCACCGCCGAGTCCTACGAAGGATCAGTTTGGTCCACCGTTAGTGGGAATGGGAACCACACCAAAACCCAAACATCAGCATAACCTTTCCCAACCTGAGGCCGGAAAACATGGTTCTAGCCACCAGAGGAAAGGATCATTCGTCTACTATTGACGGCTCACTTCTCCTTTCAATGCCCTGTTTTTTCTAAATCTCTTTCAATTTTCATTTCTCTCGTTTTCTCATGCTGGCTCTGAGTCCATCTACACCTTTTATATTAGTGATTTTTAGTGATTTCCCACTCAACATCTGTCTGCTCGTTTTTTCCTTTTTCTCTTTTTTCATATGTTGTCCTTTTCCTCCTCACCGATATCTTCACTCCCATGTGAGGGCAATACGAGGGCACCCTCTCTTTTTCTCTTTTCTTGGACTGAAATATTCCGGAACCTCTTTGTTTCCTTTGAAATATGTCCTACATCTAGCTTTTTCCTTGTCATCTTTCTTGCCTTGCCTTTTTTCCTTTATCTCTTCTACGTCCTTTAGTAACGTTCCCTTCCTTCTTGTGTCCACATTGTTTTATTTCAGCGACGAAGAAAAGATTGAAAAATAACAACTCGAAATGTCAGCGAGATTTGAACGATTATTATGATGCCGCTGTTTTTTCCCTTTTGCTTGAAATTCAGTTTTTTTTGAACCCCTTTCACACCGTACAGTAATTTGGGCCGTGGATGGCCTGATTTACTACTCCCGTGACTGATTGTCTTTTTTGCGTTCTGTACATTGTCTTTTTGACCTTTTGTCAACTCGTATCTGACAGGTTCCATAATGTGGAGGATCTGGGTGGTGTCTGCTGCGGCTGACTTTTTGATAGTAAATATTGTTGCGTTGTGACTTTGCTTCTTGTAAATGTACTGTCTTATGATATAAATGGAAGAATTCCTTGCTTTTTAACATTCTTTTTAGCGGCAGGATGGAGGTGTTATGGAGTGCGGATCACTGAAACGGGTTGGAGCATGGGGGTTTAAATTCTGCACTAGGGAGATAGTACATATTTCCTTATTTCCATGGTATAGAATCGTTTTCGAGAGTATTTCCCACCCTGTGCATAGTTACATATGTGTTGAGGCAATGACATCTACATACCATCGGCACCAGGGGGCATGTTTCCACACACAAACACGCACATGCGTGCAATCACCCACCCTCCTCTCCACCGTTGACGAGATCATCTTCGGATTCAGATTCGACTTCTTTCAATGCCGCCTTTCCGCTCATGGGTGCTTTGGCAGAACCTCCGCTTGGTTTTGATGCAGGTATTCCTCTTGAAGTTACGAAGAGGAAGGCGTTGCCTTGGAAGGTGTCGATGTGGTTGAAGAAATTCCCGAAGCTGTGTACAGTTTACCGTTAGAGAGGATATGTTTTGTAGAGCCCAAAAAATGTGAAACGACCGTTGCAAAACAGGGCGTTAGGGAAATAGGGAAAGGAGAAGAAAAAGGGCGGAACAGAAAGGAGGTGAATAGATAAAGGGGAGGCGAAAAAAAATTGAAGCTTACGAATTCGACTCCTCCTCTTCACGGAATATTCTTTCATAAATCTCCCGCTGTTTAAACTCTTCAATCTCCTTCTCATATTTGGAGAAGTCTATCGGATTCTTGCCATACTCAACTACAGTTCTTTTGTTATACGAGTCAAAGATTGGACGTTCGAGTAGCAAACCTAGTCCAGGTGCTTTGGGGATGGCAATCTTTTGGTCCCCGTACGTCTCAGGGACCAGCTGGATATCACAGCCACAACGTACTATCAGGGCAGTCATGGCGACCATCTTCCGGATCTGATGCATCATGAAACTTTGGCCGTGTACCTTAAGACTAAGCCATTCCGTGCCGTTGATGATCAATGGCTCTCGCGAGATTTTGAAGGATTTTATGTGTCGTTTGGCCGATGCGTCGCGAAAAGACTTTTGGATGGTGTAATTGTGGAAGTTCCTTGTCCCGACGTACATACCAAGAGCATCGTTGATGCGGTCCAACCGCTCTCTTGGTATTCGATATGCCTTTTTTGCATCTATGTAGGCCGCTCGAATCATGCGAATAGCTTCGTTGGTTGTTGGCACTGTCTGCGCGTCTCCAGAGCTCAAGCCCTTATTCTCATTTGTTGAGGCTGATGCCTCTTTGCTGGTGACTGCACTATCTTGTTGATCGGACGGATCTAGTGGATCTTGTTCACCTTGGGAAGTAGAGTTGTCCGCTGGGTCATTACCAGATTTGATAATCAGCGCTTGCTTCACGCGATTCCGCGTCACTTCAGGTAGTCGTTCCAGTATGGGTTTGATATATTTCTCATCAATTTCCTCCCAGTAGTGGGCAACCTCTGCTTGCCTTTGCTGATAACCTTCAAGATCATTCTCTTGTTCAGCAATTTCGATTAGTTGTTGACCTAAGTAAGTGCTAGGATGTGGCGGTAGGAAGCAGTGAGAAGGTATTAAATATTCATAAATGCGCGAATCGCACAAATGATAACTGCTGAAACTTTTATTAGTTATTTCGATGCCCCATACCCTAATTTGCGGACTGAGATGTCCGTTTATTTTTTGCACTACATTGGGATCCTCGACAATAAGTTTCAGTGAGACAACATTGCCGGCGGCATGCACGCCCTTATCTGTGCGTGCGCATCGAACAAGTGACGACTTCTTAGGGTCAGTAGCATTTGCTTTTGATATTGCCCCAGCGGCGACGAAAGCAGTGAATAAATCACCTTCAATTGTCTTCTCAGTCTCGCTCCTATAGAAGGGACGTTAGATCAGAACTGCAATAAATTCACACAAAGTTTGAACGGACAATTGCATCCCCTTATATCCACTACCTGAATACCCAAGCATGACAGCGACTTTCTTTTTTGGGCGTCGCTGGTCTGCTTCAATATCCTCTTTGGAAAACTCCGTAGCATAGATAGGCAGCGCCTTCTCTCCATACTCTAATTTACGTCGCTTCGATTCCTGAGAAGCTTCGGCCTTCGCTCTTTTATCTGGAATTTGGCGGCTTGTGATTAGTTAGTGTAGGAAATGATATAGTGAAATCCTATCAAACAAAAAATAGCAGAAAATACCTCCAAGCTTTCCTTCCCAAATCTTTTCTCTTATTCTTGCGACTTCCTCGGCATCCTCCGCCGCCATTTGGTTCCTTCTTTCTCTCTGCATCGCCGTCGGGGCGTGGTTGTGAAACTTCCTGTTCCTGTGAATACCCTGCGGGGAACATGGCCTGCTGATCCGGCGCAGAGTTGCTTGGACGATTTGGGTTTGAGGATTGTTGCTGAGTATCCATCTTGGATATAGAAATGTCAGGCTGCCCATAAGAGCAGACCAATTGTATCAAGTTCTCAAACGGAGGGTTTCCTCGCTGGCGGAGTTTTCGATCAAGTTCCGCATAAAATTTAGTTGCGATGAAAATCCTTGATTAGTCAGCGTATCTCGATAACTAGTTAAAGCTAACTCAAAACAGACAATAGCCTTTTTTCCGCGACTTCACTACGACTCAACGCGCATCTTCAACAACCCTGGAGCGGATACTGTCTTCGTGTTGTTTGGCGGAAAGCCGCCTTTGGCACGAACACTATCCTACTTCTAGAAACACGTCTCATCAGCTTTACTGCTGCTGGAGTGTGAAGAATGATGGTTGTCAAATCGACTTAAGCTACCTTGAACGGAGGGCTCCCGTGTCAGTGATCATCGGCGGCCACTGAGCTGCATCTGAGCAGACTTATATCGCCTCTTCTGAAACTCTCGGGGGTCACAATAGCCCGCGTGCTAGCAGCTATGGATCTCGCGAGCAGCCTTATTCGCACTGTCGTCCGCGCCTTCTATGAGACTCGCCACATCCTTGTGATTGATGCTCTTTTCATACACTCGGTGTATGACTCTTTCAATCTCGCAAAAATTCTCTAGAATATCTAGCTGATGTATTTTGTAGCCTTCATCCGGAAGACCTCGCGCATCTTCTTGGAATGCAGCAAAAGGATCTACGCAAGCTCTGCGCTCGTTTGCGTGAAGACCGTCTCATTGCAGTGTATGGGAGAGTCCTCCATGAAATAACTCTTTGTCAAATGTTAGGGCTAACCTTGAGTTTGCTGAATTCAGTCATTCAAGGCCCGAAATTCGAGATGGTCAAACTCGCCCAGTGAATCGCGAATACTACTATATTCCCCTTTACCCTGTAGTTGACGCTATCAAATATCGTGTTTCTCGACTTACCTCGATTATCAAAGCGCAATATACCCCTACTGCGGAAAGGAAGGAATATGTTTGCACAAGATGTGGTGCGGAATGGACTCAGTTGGAGGTTCTAAGCCGGATCGGACCAGATGGCTTTGAATGTCATCGATGCGGTGCTACGCTAGAAAGGGCGGATGAAGTCGAGGGTGGGACCGGCGCTGATCGAACTGGCCATGAGAAAAACAGCAAATTAATGGCGCAACTGGATAAGATGCTAAAACTACTCAAACAGATCGATTCTGTTGACGTCCCAGAAAATGATTTTGAGACGGCGTGGGAACACAAAGTTGATGTTATACGAAATCAATACACCAACCCGACAAGGCCAGGAGTGGCCTACACTAGCAACCGACAAGCAGCCGTTCGAGGGATATCTAAAACAGACGCTTCGTCCTTGGAAATATCTCTCACTTCCTCAGCAGAGAAGAGCGCTGCTGAACAGGCTGAGGAGACAGCGCGGAAAGCTGCTCTAGAGAAGCAAAATGCGCTTCCTGTTTGGCATACACATTCAACAGTTAAAACCGAACCTGGCAATCTTCCGGTCAAACATGAACCAAATGGAATTACTGACGTATTCGCTATCAAGTCTGAAGTAAAGGAGGAACAAAAGCCAGACATTGATGCTCTTGATGACAAGGTTGCTGCATACTACGCTGAAATGGCGCGCGAAAAGGAGCGGGAGGCTAAAGACGATGTGAGCTCTGTTGAAGAATCATCAGACGAGGAAGAAGACGAGTTCGAGGATGTTGGAGTTGCTCCTGGCGTCTCTGAAATCCCGGCGGTAGCAGAAGGCAATAACACTCCTAAATTCCCTAATGGATCACTTAAAAGGGAAATGGAATCCGACTCGGGCAGTAGCGCTCCTCAAACTGGTGCTGCAACACCCGATACCACCGCAGAGGACGGCCCTCCTGCCAAGAGAGTTAAATTTGAGCCACAAGTGAAGAGAGAAGCCGTGTCTGACGAAGACGAAGATGACGAGGAATTCGAGGACGTCTAGGGTACTTTAAACTCCCACTTGAAAGAACTTTGTAACATACAATTATAGCGTTTGGTGTTTTTCGATGTTAGCCCGGTCAGTTTCTGTGCATTTAATGAGACAGAAACGTTCATTGTGTTCTAAATCATTGATGTTTCATTCCTTTTCCTTGATATGTACCTGTCCTTTCGTGACCCGCCTCGATGATGCATTCAGGCCTGATGCTCATTTATTTGTGATCATGCCGCGCAGTTCCTAAAAGCAAATGCGATTCTAAAGGTGGTGAATCTTTGGATAATATGATAGAATAGATTCTTGGTCTCATTTTAATTCAAGAATCAAATGCAATCTTGAGCAAAAAATCCTGTAGGCCCTGTGTTTTTCTCTGGTTCATCTCGAAACCTGTTAGAGTACAAAACTGCAGACATTAGTTTCCTCCTATACCAAGCCAGCGTGATACTGAGCTATCTATAGGAAAATATCGCACATTTTTGATAAGTCAAAGTCTCTACTCTGTAGAGCTTCATGAAACCTGCACTTCATCCATCTTTGAAGAACAACATCTCAATATACTTTTCGTATTAATTGAATAAGTGTAATGCTAGTTTTTAATAATACAGATGTGCTTCTTTGAAAACAGTCATACTTTTCTGAACTGAGAAGGTTATTTGTTTGGAGATTGTTTCAAAATATACGAACTGTAACCGTTTACAAAGGGGATTGAGGCCTCGTCTGAGCTCTCTGGGTGATTAAATCCTCTGAGCAACCAACACAACCCACTCAGACATTGCTCGAAAATTCATCGACACCAAACCCAACTTCATGAACAGAGGAGCCTAGGCCAACTGTAGCTCTCCGGTACTTTCTTCTCATGAATGAGTCGCTTGCAATAACACATCTCGAAAACATCATCAACTTTCCTACCTCTCAGCCCTTCGTAGGGAATGAACGCTGCCAGGCTCAACGCAGATTCTACGATGTCATTATTAACCGTTTCGAGACAACAGATACCAGCAGATGGCCTGAATACAGCAGCCCTCTGCTCTTGCGTCATTCTTCGGGATATCCTTCTACGCGCATTCTTCGCGTTTGTGAAATTCAATCCTGCTGATGAGGAACATATCGACTCGAGTGATGAGAGACTGGCAAATCAAATTGGCAAGGGCTTGGCCACCTTCGCAGATTTCCTGCTAGAGAATTTCTTTCTGCCACGTTTGTGTCCCTGTCCGCTGTCGGTTTATTCATCCGCTTCTGCTGATGTTGTTAGAGTCAAGGCTTCTGGTCGACACACCCCACAACATTACCCTGCACATTTGGGCAATCCAGACACATGAATTCACTGGGACACGAGAGCGGATATCGGACTTCCAGGGTCCTTGTCTCATCCGTGACCACCATCGTTGTGTGATTTCTCGCGTGTTTGATCAGCAAGAAATGGTAACTCGTCCTGAGAAATATGGAAATACTGTTCAAAGTGATGAAGGAACATACTCCAAGGACTGCAATCTATGTTCTTAGAAGTGGCCCATATCCTTCCAATTCCTTGGCCCGGACAAATATGGATTCGCAATCGGTGAGCATCAATGGCAACGTTGATCTTTCCGTTGGCTAATTGACATGGTTATGATGATTCCTCGATGATGACGTTTCGCCGGCCCCTAATCGATAGTGTCAATATCGACCAGCCGTTTCGAAAATATGTATGACCTACTCTGGACTTTATGCAGAGTAGAGAGTGTCGTCAATGAGTCGGCCTCGTTAATCAGCAAGGAGCAATCTGTTGCACCCACAAATGGTATGGGGCAAATTTACAGATTTCAAGTTGTAATATGCAACACAGCAACTGTTGGACCAAAATACATAGAAGGGTAGGAAAGAGAGAAAGAGAAAGAAAAAGAAAAAAGGAGCAATGGTCGTGAAGTTGAACAGAAGTGAAAAAGTAAACGTGTGGATTGCAAAATATATGGATCGAGAAAAAAATAAAACCATTCCATGTAAGTAGTCAATCAACTTAAAAAAGCTCATCGGTATGTATTGAATGTAAAATGGAAGAAAAATCGATGGATCAGAAAAAGACCCCATCATCCGTAACCGTATACATTGAAGCATATTAGGAACATAAAGAGTAAGAGGGAGAAGCAGAGTCCATAGTCCCATGTGTAAACGAAGATCTGATAGAGAAAATAACCCATTGTTTCATAACGTAATGTCATATGACTGCTGCTGGGATGCGGCAATGTGAGGGAGAAGGAAAATAATAACATACACCCCAATTTTCCTGATCCTTTAGTTGTATAATGCTAAAGATGACGAGAAACGGACTAAGAGCGTAGCATGCGAGACCAATATTTTCTTGTGAAGAAAAAGAACCCCCCTCACACGTATAACATTGATGGCCTCATCTTGCCTCTAAATACAGAAAACAGAGAATTTTAACGCCAGTTAAATGCAGCAAATGGGGAATGGGATGATGGATGGTGAAGTGAAATGGTCATTCAGCGGTCATCAATACGAAAAGAGAAAAAAAAGAACAATGGGATAAAAAATGCAACAAAACAAGTGGGAAGGAAACACTTTCACCTGGGAAAAGAGAAATAGAAAGAAATAAAAAACAGATTTTATACTGCCTTGTAAAAGGAAAAAATAGGGACATGAAAAGACTCCCCTTTAATCCGCCACTGCACAATGGGCGCCACAGCTTTCACGGCGACCCGGTCAGACCAACATCAGAATCGCTTCCCATCATTGAATTATCATCCCAACCATCTGAATGGAAGTCAGAACCTGAAGTAGAAAAGGCGGTATGGTGGTTAGAAACAAAACAATAGAAACGCAGACTAAACCAGAAAGAAAATGGGATAGCGCTGCTTACCAGAGATAAGTTCTTCCGGAACGTCAACGGCCAGCTGCTCTAGTGCGGAGATGACAGCTATTGAAAAGAAAGAAGTAGGTCAGTGTGAGCCTTCATGATGAAATATTGGGGGAGGTAATTTGTCATACTTGTAGCCTGTTGGATGAAATCCGCGTCGTCGCTGTCACGCTCATCAAAATAGACCTCTGTGCAATGCATGATCACGAGCGAAATCGTCTCCATCGACTTGACTTCAGGAGGCTGCGCGTCTGCAGTTGAAAGGTACGTCCTTCGCAACTTATCCACAGATGCCTGCGCCAAATCCCTGCCGATTTTCCTGTAAAATTGGCGAAAATCATCACTGATATCCTCATATTCCTTCGAGAAGAGAAGTTGTCGCAGGAAATCCAGCACGCCGTTTCTGACTGCCCTCTCTGGGTAATGAAGAAGTGTCGGCGCCCAGTCAGGTATCCGGTCGACCACCGAGCTCCAGAACCAGTACTCATCCTTTTTGGCTTTTTCGTTTTTGACTTTTACCAGCGACTGGAAAAAGGCTAGATGCTCGCAACCCCCACTGTCATTGATGGAATCTATGCCTTTGGACACGTAGTCGATGAGGTTGGTGATACGGTCCCCATCTGATGACATCTGGCAGAAAACTAATGTAGCGTCGAGGAAAGGAACACAGAGGTAGGCTGGAGAAGCCCGTAACCCTTCCTCTAGAACTTTGCAGATACTGTCCGTTAGACCATATTCAGGATCAGCGGCTAGAAAAACGCTCACTATCTTCCGTGAAACTGGTGGATTAGCTTGTTGCTCTAGGATTTTCCTCAAGAAAATCAGATCCTTGTTCCTTCCAACGGGTCGGACCAGCTCCGCTTCCGCCCTGGTAAGAGAATATTTGCCCACATTGCAGTCCCGGCAGCTATTGTTGACTGACGGTGTCAATGTGAAGTCGATGTGCGTCATCAAAACATAGAGGACCTCCACAAGCTTGGAGTGTGAATATTTGCGGCCTTTTTCAACAAGCCGGAAATAGTTCCCATATTGCCGTTTCAGCCGTTTGCTATCCTCCCTATCAAGCCAAACCATTTCCAGGCATTTCAACAAAAAGCCATGTTCAAGCATGACCTGAACAGGGAACGCGCCAAAATTAGCAAGTCCAAGGAGCAGCCCGAAATAATCGTCCCAGGCCCGCGAATATACGTGTAGGCAACCCCACAGCTCATCAAGCGACGTAACAATATTCTCAACCATCATCTCATAGTCTTTTCTGCAGCGAGCTAGTTCGTCATGGTCCAGAGATTCATCCTCTAGAGACGCCTGTAACCGTGCGACGGCAGCGATCAAAAGTCGACAGAATCCGTCACGGACAACGTTATTGGGACTCTTTAAAAGGAGGTCTCGAATACCTAACGGTCGAACTTCAGTCCAACCGAGCACTGCCATGGCCCCCTCATTACTTTCATTGACACTTCTCCCCAATTCGATGATGATGTTTTCAAATTCGGGCAATTCTTTAGACCTCGAGATGATCTGATCCAAATTGTCGAGGGCGAGGCATATGGCCGGTTTTTGGATTTTACTGAACCCAGATTCTTCCGTGGTGGAAAATTTTCTTGATTGTTCTAGTAGTGCACGGATGAAGTACGCATGGTATGGGTCTAACAGGCAGTAGGTCCGGATGAAAATTTGGTTCTCTAAGGCGATGTGATTTCCAAGCTGCATGCCCTTATCGACACTGACTGGTGCATCGCCGAGCGATGCCTCATACACAGATTG